ATGTGTGCTGCAGAAGCATGCCACTAAAGTTGTAACCATGGTAACGTAGCCAGCAAAAGCATCACATTGCACGATCTGAACAGTGTGCAGGTACAACGTTCGTTTCAAGCAATCGCAACATGTAAATTACTTTACGATTCGTTTGTTTCAAGTAACATGAAGGCAGTTTTTACTGCTCTGCTTGCTTATTGAAACGTTACCGCTAGTTATTTCATTTTCAACGTCCGCCTTTTCCATTCTTCATTGCGAGCACCCGAAAACGATATTTAGTACAAACAATACCGTCGCAAACGCGTGATTCAAAAATTATCGCTTAGTTTTGCAACGGAAACTGGTTTTCAGTGAGCTTCAATAAACTTACTACTAATGAAAATGGGAATGACAAAAGTGATATGATTGGGGAAGGATTTTGCGAGAATCAATATGAGAATCAAAAGTAATGTGAGATTCAATAAGTTGACGAAGGAAATAAGTATGAAGTCATTGAGGCTTATTGGCAATTACATATTCAGTGGAAAGATAGTTCAGAACAACGATCAAATAAGGAAGCAGACGTTCAATTATTCACTCATTTATTAACACCTCACAAATCCCCAAGAACACCATAGTTTACAATTTGTGATGCAATTCGTATGAGTGTCCCAACATTCCAATCTGATACAATGCATTGCATTCAGGCTATGGGTTCGTTGGATGATTGGAGTGGCTGGCGTGATTACGATACACCAATTCAGAATTTGTCAACGGCTAACGACTTTGTTGCGAAAGTTGAACGAAGTGTTTATGAGAACGAGCCGATGTCCGACGAAGAAGTTGAGAAGGAATGTCGACTTTGGGCGCAACGATTTCCACATCTCAGGTGAGATGAATTTCTTTTTATGTGAATCGTTTAATCAGAACGTTCAGTCGGTTTTTCTGTTTCAAACGTTCAAGCAATATCGACGAATGAGATCTAAATGTGTTTGGTAATTTACTGATTAATGCATGATAAAGCATATGTGGAACAAAAAGTCTCTCAAAACTGGATCGCTAGTTCGATAATTTTCTATCACAGAGCCATTTGACGTACGTTGAAAACACACATGTTCCACACTTATATGAAATCTTAGGAATTTCTACCATTTCTTATGCATCTCTTTTATTAACAATATCACAAATATTATAGTCTTCATTCACTGAAATTCTTCTTTTCACACAGCTAACGGTATCAGCGCAAATAATTATCTGTTTCATGAAACTTTGATTTCGAATATTGATTTGGCGAGCATTGAGGTGTA